CGTACCGTGCAAAGAGTTTGAGACCTCTCTTTGTCGAACGGTTACGGTTATCGTATTACCATACAAGAATTGATCGTGTCGTCGCGTACGATATCGTACGTACCGGTATGGCGCACCTTAATCGATTGATTGATACAGAACAAAATGCTCAATATKAAAAAAAATAGAGGGCCCTGAAGAACGAAGTACTAGTAATAAAAACTACYAGTAGAAGTAGAGTACGAGTACTACGAGCGGCGCAAAGAGTACCCTACTTGTACTACTAATACTAGAATTTGCATGTCTCCTTTTTTCAGCCGCCCTTCCTTCCTGCAGATCTCACGTTCGCTTGAGCGCTTTTAACTACTAGGGCCTCTATATTAGTACCTACTACGACAACGTACCCCATATTTACTGTACGAATTACAGTACTGAAAAAATACAAATTTGTTCTGTACARTACGTACTTCGTACGTCGTACGTAGMTGTTGTCGACTGAAAATTCATTCACGAGTTAGCTGGGTTCCAGAACTTAAAGTTCTCGGCCGGTGTGGTGACGTATGAAGCGTGAAGCAATTTTCCAATTGGATCAGGGGCCACTCATTTGCAAGTTGATTCGATGATTCATGGAGTCTAACGGCTTTCCCATCTGTCTTTGACACCACTAATCTTTTTTAATTTCGGCAACTCCTTGATGATCTGTGTGTCATCCTTTGATTCTCGAAGTTCGACGACTGCCCTAATTGCACGCTCGTACCCGTACCTTGAAGGACAAAACGAGAGGTGAGTGTACTGTTGGATATTCTTACAACATCACATCAACTCATCAACACACTGTATTCTCTTGGACGTCGAGAACACAACTGAAAACATGATGTGGAGAATATCCGCGGCATTCATTGCCACTCTAGCYCTCGGCAACAATCAGCATACGGCGGATGCCTTCACGGCACCATTTTCTAGGGTTGCTTCGAAGGTTTCGACTTCCTTGCTTCATGAAACCRTTGAGAAGGAAGCGACAGCAGCAAAACCTGAAACCAAGGAAGATGACAAACCTTTCTTTAGCAACATTATGGCTGCTAACCGCGCCGAAATCGCTGTCCGAATCATGCGAGCAGCTACCGAAATGAACGCCGGAACAGTCGGTATCTATGTCAACGAAGATAGATATTCGCAACACAGATGGGGTGCTGATCGATCCTTTTTGTTGGAGAAGGATGATGAAGCCACGCCAATCTCTGCTTATCTCGATATCGATCAAATTATCAAGATCGCAAAAGATGCTGACGTCGATGCTATCCATCCTGGATATGGTAAGGAMCAGTTTCATGCCATTTATCATAATTTGCGACTGTGGAAAGTTTTCAAAACTCCCCGGCTCTACCCCCCATTACTCACCTTTTTTGTAACGTCAACGAATTCATCCCTCAGGATTTCTTTCGGAATCGCCCGAATTTGCACAGGCCTGCTCTGATGCCGGAATTGTGTTCGTTGGACCAACTGTTGAGAACCTGAACCGATTCGCTGACAAAACATCGGCTCGGCAAGCGGCTATCGATGCTGATGTCCCGGTTGTTCCTGGAAGTGATGGTGCACTGAAAACCACCGAGGAAGTCGTTGAATTCGTCGAAAGTATCGGTTTGCCTGTAATTATCAAAGCCTCTATGGGAGGAGGTGGTAAGGGAATGCGAGTTGTTCGCACCATGGAAGAATTGGTCCCTTTTTTTGAATCTGCTAGTTCCGAAGCCCTTGCTAGTTTTGGTGATGGGTCTGTCTTTATTGAGCGATTCGTCGATCGCCCACGACACATTGAGGTACAAATCATCGGTGATGGAACCGGGAACGTTGTTCACTTGTGGGAACGTGATTGTTCAGTCCAACGCCGTCACCAAAAGGTCATCGAAATGGCTCCTGCCTTTACTTTGCCCGACGAGTTGAGGTCGAAGCTCCACGAGTATGCTRTCAGGTTGACTTCTCAAGCCAAATACAAGAATGCCGGAACTGTCGAATTTTTGGTTGATTCCGAACTGCGGCCGTACTTCATTGAGGTTAACCCCAGAATTCAAGTTGAACATACTGTCACAGAAGAGGTTACGGGTATTGACTTGGTCCAGGCACAAATGAAGATTGCCGCTGGAGCATCATTGGATGATGTTGGTCTCGTCCAAGAAAACATCTCTGCGCGAGGTGTTGCCATTCAATGTCGTGTCACAACAGAAAACCCAGAACGTGATTTCGCTCCTGATACCGGTACCATTTCATTGTATCGTAATTCGGCAGGTTGTGGAGTACGAATGGATGGTGTCGGWTATTCTGGTCTGAAAATCACGCCGTACTTTGATTCGATGATCGTAAAGTACACAGTCCGAGGATCGAACTTCAAAGAAGCAACTGCCCGAATGAGCCGCGTGTTGCAAGAATGCCGAATCCGTGGTGTCAAAACCAATATTCCATTCYTAATGAATTGCCTCGAACATGAAGATTTCAAGAACGGAGAGCTCACAACGGCATTCATTGACGAACATCCTGAACTGAAGCAGACCTCGACTTCCTACTGGAACTTTGCGAATGAATACCAAGCTGACCCCTTGAAGTTGGGTTCTTCGGAASGCCGTCTTCGCTACCTGGCCAACTTGGCAGTGAACGGACATCCAGCTGAGCTTGGTGCTGATCCCGCCAAACTAGGTTCTGGAATTACTACCGCTATTAGTTCTCCGCTAATTCCCCCTTCCACTACGGAGAAGAGAAGTTTGCGCAGCATTTTACTAAACGAAGGACCAGAAGGGATGGCGAAGGCCGTTCGAGATAACAAGGGACTCATGATTATGGATACTACTTGGCGTGATGCGCATCAATCGTTGCTTGCCACTCGTATGCGAACACAAGAATTTGAAAATTGCGCTGAAGCCACGAATGAGGTCATGAAGAACGCGTTCTCTTTGGAAATGTGGGGCGGTAAGTTATCATTTTGTTCCATTTCCAACCTACTGCGCGCACTTTCATTCTTGTTATTCAGCAATTCTAACGTTGTGAGGACAAATGATTTTTGYAAAAACCAATATTTTAGGAGCTACATTTGATGTCGCTATGCGATTTTTGCACGAATGTCCCTGGAAGCGACTCGAATCGCTACGAGAGAAGACGCCCGATGTTCCCTTCCAAATGTTGTTGCGTGGAGCCAACGCTGTTGGTTACACCAACTACGCAGACAACGTTGTTTACAAGTTTTGCGACCAGGCACAGAAGTCAGGTATCGATGTTTTCCGTGTCTTCGATTCCTTGAACTACCTCGAAAACTTGAAACTTGGCGTCGACGCCGCCGGAAAGGCGGGTGGTTTTGTTGAGGGTACAATGAGTTACACTGGTGATGTCGCGGACCCAACGAAGGGCAAGTACAACCTAGAATATTACATGAAGCTTGGACGTGAGTTGGTCGATATGGGTTCCCACTCTTTAGCAATTAAGGTACGTTTTAACTTGTTTGGAATGATATGTGTTATTGTGAAGTATTTCTTTCCAAATATTCTGGATCACTTAATCCTACTACTGTCACCCTGTATTCTCTTATTTTTTAGGATATGGCTGGTCTCCTCACCCCAAGAGCCACGACCATGTTGGTTTCTGCGCTCAGAGAAGAATTCCCGGATACTCCGATCCACGTTCATACCCACGATACTGCTGGATGTGGTGTTGCTTCTATGTTGGCTGCTGCCGAAGCCGGCGCTGATGTTGTCGATGGAGCCATCGATGCCATGTCAGGAATGACTTCGCAACCATCTATCGGTGCGATTGCTGCCAACTTGAGGGGAACCGATCTTGATACGGGATTGGATATGGGTCAACTTGCTCCATTAAATACATACTGGGAGAATGTTCGTTCCATGTACGGTCCGTTTGAATCTGGTCAATTGAGTGGAAGTTCTGACGTGTACCAACATGAAATTCCTGGTGGACAGTACACCAATCTTCTTTTCCAATCTAAGCAACTTGGATTGACCGAAAAGTGGCCTGAAATTAAACGCAAGTACGCCCAGGCAAATATTGTCCTAGGTGATATTCCTAAGGTCACCCCTTCCTCTAAGGTTGTTGGTGATCTAGCACAATTTATGGTTGCACAAAACCTCGAACCCCATGATATTTTGGATCAAGCTGAAACTTTGGCCTTCCCTGATTCCGTTGTGAACTTTTTGCGTGGAGATATTGGAATTCCTCCCGGTGGCTTCCCTGAACCTCTTCGTTCGAAGGTCCTGAAGGGACGTGGATTGGAACCTGTTGAAGGTCGCCCTGGACAATTTCTAAAGGAGTACAATTTTGATCAAGAACGCGAATCTCTCCGAGCCAGCTATGGCAAACGTATCAGCGAAAAGGATTTGCTATCCTACGCACTTTATCCCAATGTATTCAAAGAATGGAAAGAATACGAAACGGTCTATGGGGATGTAGATGTTCTTCCTACCCATGTTTTCCTGAACCCGATGAATGTAGGCCAAGAAATCGATCTTGATTTGGGTAAGGGACGATCGCGAGTGATCAAATTGGTTGCCATTCAAGATGTGGATGAAAATGGTTCCCGAGAGGTCATGTTTGAAGTCAATGGAGAGGCATACTACATGAGCGTTACTGACAACAGTGCCGCTGTCGAAGGTGCGGTCAGAGAAAAGGCAGGGGCACCAGGAACAGTGGGCAGTCCTATGCCTGGGGTCGTAGTCGGTGTCACAGTCAAGCCAGGAGATGAAATCAAGGAGGGACAGACCGTTGCTACTCTCTCGGCCATGAAAATGGAAACATCGGTTCCGGCAACATCATCAGGTGTCGTCAAGCGAGTCTTGGTTAACGTTGGTGACAAGGTCGATGGTGACGATTTGTTGGTTGAAATTGAAGTCTAATTCGATTAACGATKGARAAACAAAGTTTTTAAACCAACCTTTAATTTGGATTTTAGTACTTTTGCTTGCAGCGGACGCGCAGCCACAATTTGCTGTGTACTTTATGTGGTAGATTGGTGACTGTAGTATCGCAAGTTGACGAAAACAGAGAAAGTCATTTGACTTCCTTTCTGCAACGTGGTGGTATTGTTTTAGTTCTGAAAATTTGTCTCGAAATAATCCATCGCTGCACTCAAGATGTTAGGCAACAATTTTGAAAAATCACACAGTTTGTCATCCAGGATTTTTCGTTTTTCTTTATCGGTGTAAAAATACATTGTCTAGAGCGAGAGCAGATGTACCGGTCCAATTTATTAAAGTTTTTAACGAAAAGCATCGCTAACAGCACATGTCGGGCTGTTTGTTGGATTGGTCGTACTGGCCACGGAGATTTATGGGTKCATTACTACTACCCATTGGTGGTGGTACGAAGAGTTGTGGTTGCGAGCGCTTCTTGTATTCCTCGTAGACAATAGCTCGTCGCGCTGCTTCCTGGAAGGCGTCTTCGACCGATTCCGATGTTTTGGCGGAACATTCGAAATAAGGCAAGGGTTGCGACCCCATGATGGTAGCACTCGCTGCCGTTCGACACCAATCCTCTGCCTGTTCGCGAGTCACCAGGCGGTCATTGGCCTACCGAACCATGATTGCGTACCAGAATATATTAGATTCATTGATTATTACTTGCATTTTCAGAAAGAAAAACGTTACCAAACTGAACATCAAACAGAAAAAACATACCTTGTCGATTTTGTTTCCCACCACAACGAAAGGAAATTGCGTAGAGGCATCGCCCAAACCTTGTATTCCGCCACCGACTTGTTCCAAGAATTCTTTTCTCCAGTGATCCAAATTGTCGAGGGAATGCGGATCCGTAACGTCGTAAACCAGCAAACAAGCATCAGCACCGCGGTAAAATCCCACACCAAGCGACTGGAATCGTTCCTGCCCAGCCGTGTCCCAGATTTGAAGCGTTACTAGATGACGCTGTTGCATAAAATTGTCATTGACAATGACATTGTCCTTACTCAAAAAGTCAGCACCAATAGTTGCCTTGTACTGACCCGTGAATTTGCCTGTAGAGAATCGATTCATCAACGACGTCTTTCCCACACCAGAGTCGCCCACAATGACGATTTTCAGCGTCTTTTTGTAGCTATTGTTACCACTACTCGGGTACGAAGGGTTGTTGTTGTATGGGTTGGCATTGACGGTATTGTTGTAGTTGTAGGACATGATACTGATATTTAATGATACGGAACATTTATTTCTTCGTCTCGTCAACAAGAATAATTTTCTGCGAACTTATTCGCTTCACGCTGTCCAAAGTTTGGAGAAAATCCTAATCTTACAGTCGGAATGGGCTCCTGTTGATTCTCGCAATTCCGTGCAATCAGTCGAGTCGTGCAACTTCAATTATTTCTTCTCTTTCAGCTTCTCGGATAATTTTAATGATAGAAATAGGTCGGAATAGATGGCATGAAGAGTAATCGGTATGCTGCATGCACGACGATGAAAAAGAAATAGCAATGTTGTCAGCAAATCAGGGAATGATTTTACTGCAATTTACAGTAATCAACAAGAATTATTATCCCTGTCACTTTCTTTCTTCCCTCATCCAACTTCTGTTTTCGTCGATCTTCTGAATCACGACGTCGACTTTTTGGCGTTGATTGTCTGTTGCATTAAAAATGAAAATACATGCCCCTATTTATATRTCATTCTGATTGTTTTCAGTRCGACCTCGTTCGGCAGGTTTCTTTACTATGTTGAGGTAGTTCTATTGACTTTGGTTGTTKTACCGGTACAGSAGTGTACGAGAGAGCACTCAAGGGTCATATTATGACAGCACTGGGTTAAAGCAGGATTCCTCTGCCACATACGTGACGTCTGTTAAGTAACCTATGAGTTGTAGTTCTACTAGGTACTGTACGAGTACGTTACTACGTACCGTACACCGTACACCGTACACCGTATACGAATGTGAAGGTAAGAGTACTATCTACTACAGTCAAATACCGTACGTACCTACGAAAGCTTGCGGTACAAACCATACAGTACGTACTCGTACTCATAGAACTGCATCGTTACTTTTTTGGCAATTCTGTATTCGTACTCGTGTCGTAGTAATCGTACTCGTAGTCGCACCTGTGTGTAACTTTTGTGGTCGGTTGTTGCATGTACGGTACAGTATCTTTCATCGTGGAAGAGTTGTATTTGATTTTATGATTTTGGCAACGTGAAAATAGACAAGAAATTGTACGGTACCACCCAGGGCCCATACGGTAGAAAGGCGACTCTTCTACGGTACCATAGTCGTTCTGTATCGTCCGCCTCGGCACCGGGGATAAAATTCGCTCCCACCTCCAACTGATGTATGATATTTGTATCGCAAGGAGTTTCTTATCTAGCATTATACTGGGGAACCGACTATTTAGAAGTGCTAAGAGAATTTTTCTCTGAACGAACGCTTCATACACACAAAAAGCATTGCTGTACTTCTTATTATCACCTGTTTACAGGTAGAGAGGTTCTMTTACATCAAAAGTTTCCAGGATTTCAACTCCCCGCAGCAATCGAGCTCCGAAGAAATAATTTACGGTTGTTGCGCGTAGTCAACAAAGCGAACGCATATTTTGCAGGAGTATCAGGTCTTGCGGATCGTGGAATTCATCGATTTATCTAGGAAACGCCAAATGCACTATGTATTCGTATTTAAAGAGTTATTTTTCGACCTCTGCCGAGGATGGCGACGACACCAAAAAGTCTGCTGCTCGCACAAACGAATCTGCATCGGAAAACACCTCTTTGCTCGGGAACAATACCAATAGGGTTGATGGCAGTGCAGAGAGGCAGAATKTTCCTCCAAACTATTCAGGACAAGAAAATTTGGCTACCGACGCCACAGCTGCTACCATCGGCAACGCCAACGACGACCCTGTTCATCCCATTCCTACCCACCCACCCGCTCCATACGATCTCTATTTCAGCGATAGAAATCCGACTGTTCAACGCTATTATCGTTTCAACGCAACTCCCATTACTCCCATTGTTGCACTACACAAAAAACCTGGTGCGTCTAGCAACAATCATAGCAATGCCGCGGTCGTTACGTCTGGCGTTACTGGCCTCTTGCGCAGGTCGGCAGTTGTTCCATCTCACGGAACGGATGTTTCCGGAGATTGGATCTTAGTATCGGTAGGAGGCCGGTCGGGATGGGCGCGAAAGAAATCTCCGCGCCAGCACTTTAGTGGGTTTACTCTCGCGGAAARGTTTGCTTCCACTGAGGGATGGATGGGTAATCACGCCTTTGCCTGCGGTGGGAAACTAATGCTGGGGAGCGACGCGCCCTCGTTGGTCTTTACGAATTTGTTGATTGTGATGGGATATGTGTTGCATTTTTGCATTGTCGTTCCGCGACTGGAACACATGGAAGAAATTGGACACAACGTGGTACCGGGAACCGGATGGATCTTGTCGGAGCCGTGGCACTGGCATGTCCAACCAATCTACTGGTCGAGCGTCGTCCTTGGAGCTCTGGCACTAATCATGTTATGGGTGTCTGCCCTCATGGATCCGGGTATCATCCCACCCGTTTCGAGTCCGGTGAAAGCACCCGTCCCAGAGGGAGTTCCTCTCGGAGGACCACTAGGATATCGTTATTGCAGCACTTGCAACATCTTTAGACCACCGAGGTCGAAGCATTGCAATTCTTGCAACGTTTGCGTTTCCAAATTCGATCAGTATGTTTATAAAACGACTTCGCCATTTTGTTTGCGTGTGTACTTTGTGGATGTCGCGTTTTTTGTGTYTGTGGGTTTTCTTCCTTTCACAATCCTAAACTTTTCTTCCGTGTTTTTACTTTGGATATACAGTCATTGCCCTTGGGTAGGAAATTGCATCGGAGAACGCAATCATCGATTCTTCTTTCTCTTTTTAATTGGTATTTCGGGAATGACTATCCTCACCACGCTTTGTGCATTTGAAGTTATGCTAGAAGCCTTCACAACTACGCCTTCTGTTGTTTTGAACGACGATGGGACCATCGCGGCCAACTTGACGACGTTCCAGCGTCTTTGGAAAGTCATTCTATCGGAAAAACTGACCTTCATGTTTGGAAGCTTTACATTACTCTGTGCCTGGTCCTTGACGAGTCTCCTGTGTTTTCATGGCATGATTATTTCCATCGCTCAAACTACGAACGAGCGGGTCCGTGGAGTGTACCGATTCGGACAAGCAGAAAACGCCGCTGATAGGGGATGTTTGCGGAACTGGTATACGGCTGCKTGTATCCCTTATCCCGTATCGCGGCTACCAAGAGACATGAGTGCCCTGGTAATACCTGACTATGATAACCGACCGGAACATGTATGGAATGGCGATGACGAGGGTGGCGATGGAGGCAGAGCAGAGAATGCAGTAGCAACTACACCGCTGACTACGAGCTCGACTGGCAAATTTGCAAGAGAAGCCAATGTCAATGCAATCGGAAACGATGAAGACTCAAAAGATAGCGAAAAAAATTCAAGGGGGAAAAGTACTCCAAAGCATGAAAAGGAAGTGAGATCGAAAGATGAGCTGGTATAGAAGGAAATGCGCTTTCTACTGATGGTTWKTGAAGCAACTTAATGCATATATCGAGGGGTTCTCAAACGTTTCTGTTCCTGCAAGATTCATTTTGTTGATGCAACCATAGCTGATTTTATGTAGTCTTATTTGAGTACGTAATACGAAGTACTTGTACTAAGGAAAAATGTGAACACTAACAATTTATCAGAAAACGGTCTTACCGGTACTATCAGAAGAGACATCACGTACTGTTTTTTTGGTACACAGGCGTCAAATTTATGACCCCTGACCTGACTTGATAGTACGCACCGTACGGTACTTACCACGAGATTTCGAACGTCGATCATAGTACGAAGTTTGTATTTTCTCGAAGTACGCTACGGAATACTGTACTCTACTTCTACCACTTTTGCTTTGAAACAGTTAGTACGTAAT